CTACACCCCCACTCACTTAGCACATTCTCAGGTGTCTGTTCCCTGGATAGTGGATCAGCAGCCCCCTGGACCTACAGGAGACAACTCCCTCACTGCTTTGCAAATGGCCAAGTCCCTCAGTGAAGTTGACTTCTTCCCGCCAGTGCAGAGAGGCCCATTCATACCCAACCATAGGCCAAGTTATAGAAACGGCCCCTCCATGCATGGAGATAGAGGCTACAACTGGGAGAAAGAGGTAGGACGCTGCTCTCACAGACAGTTTTTAAAAAGGCGCAACTCGGTGCTCTGTTAAAAAAAAAAATCTGTCTGCTTTATCTCAACGCAGGTGTCTGTACTTCAAGGTGCACCAGAGACTGTGCGGGAGCTTCTCAGTACTCTGGGGCTTCAGAAATACACCCTGGGACTCAGCCTCAATGGCTGGGATGATCTGGATTACTTCAGGTAAAATCATTTTAAATAACACATTCCAAAAGCTGCACTTAACAAGGCTCTAGTTACTGCATTTCATAGTCTGAACAAATAACGGGGCTACTGTTACTACACAGACACAGAGCAAGATATATTTGCTTTGTACTTACAAAGATTTACAGACTGTGTACGATGTTATAAACTATTCCACTCAGGTTTGACTCGGTGTCATTTCCCCTCTACAGTGGCATCACTGAGGAGGATCTACGCGCTGCAGGAGTGACGAACCCTTCGCACCGACGCAGGATCCTCGAGAACCTGCCCAGGAACTGGAACTGACGCACAGAGATAAGAAAACGTTGCTGGTACGAAGCCTCGTAGTCCGCTCAGTTAGAACTGGAAGAACTGTTCAAACCGAGACCTGAAAGGTGGACAGACTGATTGGACGTCAATCACATCAGCTGGACTTTACCACAGCCCTGCCGTCTCTTCATTTACTCGATCAATACTGTAACAATAGTTTGTCTGTGTCAACACAGCAAAGGGAACATAGTGCAGGAAGTACTCGTTGCACAGTCTGCTTTATTCATCTATCCGTCTTGACAGATAATGAAAGCGGTGGGTGATATGAATGGAAAACCTTGATGTGTATCTGCAGTTACTGACACATATACAAATATTAATTATGGTATCAAGGTCTCATTGATTTGGTTTTAATGAATTTTAAATGACAATAAAAACATAGTCATTCAATTTCCAGTGTTCACCCAAGGTTGGTGTTGAACGTTCACCTTCATCCCTTCTACTGTGTGCTTTCCATTACTCTGCTATTATTGAGCCCGGATCTGAGCTTGTAAAAGCCCTCTATTAAACCTATGGAGCGTAAAATCCATGGCTGTACATACCTACTGGAACCACGTCTGTAAAGTTGGTATAGAAGGACCTGCCATATCTCATTTTGTTTACTGTCTCATAATGTTGCTATCATGTCACTTAATCAGTACCAATGTCCACTGTGCATGTTTTATGCAACCTTTTTGTAAAGTAAAGTGCATAAAGCAAGTCTTGACTGTCACCAAGCAATCAGTGTTATTTCATTCTGTCGAGCAGCTGGAAACAGAGAAATCACTTCATCGAGTCAGTTCTGTTTCGGTGCTCAAATCCCATTATCCTACCATGCTGCTTGTATGTTGAATATTGTCACCTAGAACTGAGGTGTAGCCTACTTAATGGTCTAATACTGCAGTGCATATATAGGTGGCGAGAGGAGAGAGTTTGTAAAACCAGAGAAGCAACAATATTTTACAAAATAATATGTAATTCATGGGGCAATTATTTGCTAGAATACTTTGCATATCCATAGCTAAAAGATGACACTTTAAGCGGCAGTCATGTAAGTATCAACACACTGTGTTACTAGCACAAAGTGTGTTGATACTTACATGACTGCTGCTTAAAGTGTCATCTTTTAGCTGTGGATATGCTCAAGCAAAATCATTTTTACAAGGTACAACAAGCACAGTTGGCGAAGAATCAATGCTTTTCCAGTGGTAAACAACTTCAATAAATATGATTGCATTAGTTGTATTTGTACATACATGGTGACTCACACGATGGCCAAGTCCATGAACAAACATGTGAAAGCTGTATTTGTCAGCTTAGTTAAATAACAGACCACAGCAGAAAGAGATGAGGCAACTGAGACCCAGATCCTAAAATAACTAAATATTCCTCTCAGTGTGGGAGTGTCTGTGCAGTTGCTTGTGACATTTAGTTGAGGTAGTTACTCATTAAGGCATGACCAAACACATCCCTCTGTCCTCTGACAGCAGGTATTACTGACGGTAGTGATGTCATCACCTGTAGGGCTGCTGGGAATTTTTGGCAAAAGTATTGATTTTATTTCTTCTCTTAAAACTCAGATGTTTAATCAAACAGGGGTTTGGATTGACATAGTTAGTCTGTGATTTCTCCACAGCAAGTTTTAGTAAATGATTTTTGAATTATCTTGACATAGTAAAGTCAGAAGATCTCCTTCAGATATCAAAATAGTCTTTATATAATAATTAGAACAGAAATTTGAATAACCTTGTCACACAGCCTCTTCCCTCATTGAAAATTAAGAATCTATGAAATTGCATCTGGCTTTTCAAGAGTTTAATTTAAATGGCTCTGACTTCACTGAAGAATCAATTCTTCACAGCACCCTTTTCAAAGATACACAATGGACCAAGCAACCTAGTGGAGACATCACATTATAATGCACATGAAAGTACCGTCCCCTCATGTAAAACTCTGCACATGTATCATTCTGCAGAGTGAAGGTCAAACATCCAAGTGAAGAAATAATAATTAAAACACATTTTAAAATGGAGGGTGACTTCATTAAAAAAAAGTCCATCAGTCCATAATCGGATTTAAAGTGGCAATCTGGAAGATTTTGATTTAAATAGATGTCTGTTAAGTCACTTTATCGCCGAAGGAGGTAACACAATAGTGACGTGGCCCACTGATGAACGTATTGCAATTTTTATATACTTGCTGTATTTATAACTGGGTCTCTGTGATGACCAAAAACTGCTGTAATACAGATTATCTTCATTGTATATGCATAAAAAATGGAAATATGCACAAAGTTCTGAAAAATCGCCTGTTCGTATGGAATTTCAGACACAAACCAAGACACCAGACTGCTAAATTCCTTTGTTTTCACTGTAGAACAAACCGACACTGTGCTTTGAATGGGTTTCCGGTGAAGAACGTGCTTTGTCAGTGGCCCACTCACATTCCAGACATCCATTACCACAGAAACCCAAACAGTACACGGACACAGAAACTCACACTGCTACCACCAAGCTGACCAATTCACACACACGCAAACACACACGTCCTTATACTGTAATTACCATATCAGGATTTAAAGTATTTTAGATACGTTACCGGCACTTAAAATATATCTTAACTTAACTTCCGAATGCTGCCAAGATTTATCTGCCATTGAGACTTTGAAATTTACAAGGAGAAGTCAGTCAGTCTATCTCAAAGTAGATCATAAAAAGGTAATTCCGACCATATGTGTTTATAGTCTTTGGGCTATTGGAGTGGATATAATCTTGTTTGCGACCGTGGGTCAATCAAACTCTAGCTTTTAGTAACTTATTAAGTGACCGCCTCATCTCACCTCAGTTTATCATCTGTCTCCCACACAACATTGCTCATCCTGCCCCCTTTTAATTTCTTTATGATCAGACTTTATAATTCCACACCTTATCATGTGAATCTTACAGGAAAGCCTGAGATGACAAAGATTACTGAAGAGATGAACCTGTGGATCCCTCACAGCTCCAGGGAGCAAACGTTGCCTTTTATAACAGCTATACTGTACAGCTGTGCAAATATTAACTTCTATAACATTTCAGCATTGAGTGCCATTAAGTGTTGTCATAGGGATCAGGCTCACTCATCCCCATAGGGCAGCAACAAAGTCCTTCCAATTCCTTCTGCCTTTGATCCAGTTCTCTATGATCCCACAGCCCTGTTCGTTGAGTTGGAGTTCCTCATCTGTCGTCCTGCGTCATGTTATTCTGGGCTTCCTTTTGCCTTGTGTGGTCCACCTGTGTCTCTTGAGTATGGAGTGTTTGCCATCAAGGGGTGGCTTTGACTTAGGGATAGAGCGGCCTTCCACTAACCAGAAGGTCGTTGGTTTGAACCCTGGCCCCTGCAGTCTACATGTCAAAGTGCCCTTGAGCAAGATACTTAAACCAAAATATGTGCGTGTGAAGACAAGGTAACAACTTGTCTGGCAGCTTCTGCCACCGGTCTACGAATGGGTGTGGGTGTGAATGGGTGAATGCTGGCTTGTGTTGTAAAGCACACCGATTAGTCGCTAAGATCAGAAAAGCCTTGTTTAAAGTACAGTTAATTTACCATTCACCATATCCTGCTGGCTGAGTTTTTAGGAGGTTGTTACAGTAGATGGTCTTTGGCCAGATCCTACATACGCATAATGTTTGAAAGGTGGTTAGTTTCAGTGTCCTGTTCTGTTTTTTTCCCCAGCATTCTGCACCGTAGAGTAGTGTTGATAGTACACAGCTGTGGTAGATCCGGAGATTGGTTTTGTTGCTGTATTGGTTGGATTTCCAGATTTGTCTAAGTCTCAAGAAGGTGCTTTCTAGGTGAAATCATCAGTGTTGTCGAACACCTGTTCCTCTATTGTTATTACTGTTGGTGTATTGATGGGCATGACTCTGGTTTTACTGTCCTTGATCACCCGTCCTTTTTGTTGTCCACAGAACTGGAGTCGGGTTTCTTTTCTTGCAAATATGTATATGTGAGAGGAGGTCAAGGTCTTCAATGGTCGAACAGAGGGTCCATCCAATATTCTTGCCTTGATATACTCACATATATTACTTAATATAAATATGTATAAATAACAATATAGAAACAAATATATATACAGAAAAAAGTATCAGTATTTCCCTCATACTTGGTCAGTGTTAGGGAGCTGTTAACATAAAAGTATTTTAAAAGTGTTGTGTGCACATCTCTGTGCTCAGTGTTAATATGTCAGTGAGCTCTGATAGCAGTTTCACGTGGTTCACCAAAGTGACTAATTACACACGGAGGATTGTTTTTTGGGGCGGCAGTTTTGTCCACTCAGCAACGAGACTTCCCATTTCAGTCCTCCGGTGTTTGAGAAGCTCTCCGGTGTTTCCTGCGCTCAGCACCGACTGTCTCTGCCGCGCTGCCATGGACTCCAACAACTCGACACTCTGAAAAACAACTTTTAGTGCGTATCTAATGTGCGCCGGCTGGAGCGAGCGGAGCAGCTACTGGATCTCGGCTGCAAAAAGTTAAGACGACTTTCTCGGTGACGACGGGGATCAAGAGCCGCTGTTTTTAGGATCCGGTTTTTAGGGTGAGTAGCCGCAGTGTCACGATAACTCTGCTCTTATGTTCGCGTGAGTGACGACAACGATGTTTAACATGTGTGAAAACCAACAGTGGTGGAAAGTATCCTTGCTTATTTCCACTTTATACCTCTACTCCTTTATACATCAGAGTGAAACAGTTTAGCCAACTTTCTACTGCATCACATTCCTTTCAAAGCTCTATAGTGCAGTCACTTAAATTAAGCATTATTCAACAGTAACTATAGCAGTTAAAATAGCTCCACCTTGAGCACCTACAGCTTACATGCATCTACAATAATAATAACCCAATAATATAGTGTATATATTCATATAGCACTCTGAATGGGGTCTTTCTGCAGTGACTAGTTTTACTTTTTGATACTTTTAAGTGTAAATTTCTGATCATACTATATATAATAGGGCTTCAGGACGAATGTAAGAAACACATTTTTACACTGTGGCACTACTTTTACTGAAGGAAAAGATACTTATTCTACCACTGTTGAACACAGACCACGAAACAAGATATGTGACTCTTAGAAGGATTCATCTTTGATTAATCATTTGTTCTATAAGATTCTAAAGTGAAAAAATGTCTTTCACCATTAGAGCCCACTGTGACATTAGTCCAACCAGCAGTCCAAAACCCAAAGAGATTCAGTTTATAATCATACAAAACAGAGAAAAGCAGCAACCTGAGAATTATATTTTTGTGTTAATGCAGATTAATTTCTGTCAAATGACTCATCAGTTAATCGACCAATATTTTTAGTTTTAGTAAATCTAAGTGTGTGTTTTCTTTCTAAATAACGTAAAAGGCTTCATATCTCCGTGTTGGTTCCTCCTGCAAAGGCTCGGTCACTTGCTGGCTTGAAAGTTGCATCACGATGGAAACGGTCATCAGCAGCCCCGGCGAGCAAAACCACTCGACGACGTTCATCACAATCTTCAACTCTAGCTGTCGCTTTGACGAGGAGTTCAAATACATCCTGCTACCCGTGTCGTACAGTCTGGTGTTTGTGGTCGGCCTGGTGCTCAACGCCACAGCTCTGTGGTTGTTCTTAAAGATGCGTCCGTGGAACCCCAGTACGGTCTTCATGTTCCACCTCGCCCTGTCCGACTTCCTGTACGTGCTCTCCCTGCCCACCCTCATCTACTACTACGCCAACCGCAGTCACTGGCCTTTTGGAGTGGCCGCCTGCAAAATAGTGCGCTTTCTTTTCTATGTCAACCTCTACTGCAGCATCCTCTTTCTCACCTGCATCAGCGTGCACCGCTATCTGGGCATCTGCCACCCGATCAAGGCGCTGACCAAGGTGAAGTCCCGCCACGCCCACTTGGTGTGCGGCATGGTGTGGGCCGTGGTGAGCGTGTGCCTGGTGCCCAACCTCATCTTCGTTACCACCTCCAGGAGGGACAATGACACCATGTGCCACGACACAACCAGCCAGGATGCCTTTGAGGAGTATGTGGACTACAGCTCTGTCGTCATGGTGCTCCTGTTTGGCATCCCGTTCCTGGTCATTGTGGTGTGCTACTGCTTGATGGCACGGACCCTGTGCCGACCAAGACGGGGGTTATCTGCCAGCCAGCAAGGCGACGCCTCACGTCAGAAGTCCATCAAGCTCATCGTCGTGGTGTTGGTGGTGTTTGCGGTGAGCTTCGTCCCATTTCACGTCACGCGGACGCTCTACTACACCGCCCGTGTGTTAGACCTTAAATGTGAATTCCTCAACATTGTCAACTTTACTTACAAGATCACCAGGCCGCTGGCCAGCATCAACAGCTGTATTGACCCAATTCTGTATTTCCTGGCTGGGGATCACTACCGGTCCAAAATGATGTCTGCTCTGATGGGAAAAAGACAGACGACAAGCAGCCAATCACCTGAACGGGTGCAAACACAGCCGAGCAACAACCCTGGCATCGCGCTGGTCTATAAGAACCCAGCCCTTGAAGCTGGTGAAGATTTTAAGACATAGCAGGAAATATATTGCAGAATACTAAAGTAATGAACATGTATTAAAGATGTCAGCTCCAGGCTAACATTTCTAATAGCACATTCAGAAGCACCTGGTTTCTTTTTTTTTTTTGCACTGAGAGCAGGTTTGGAAGAGAATCGGTGTACTGTAACATTCACTTACAGTAAATGTCTTCACTCCATCAAACTTCTGTAATGCCTGTGTTTAACAGGCATAAAGACCATGTTTCAATTCCCTTCAATTTTCTGAGAATAATGCGTTTTCAAGATTAAATTCAAAAGGGGAAGAGTTAGCGTGCAGTCTCCTACCACAAAGGGATTATTACACCGAACTCAAGTCGAAATAGAAACTTTAAGCTACTGTATACTGTTCTTCTTTGGGGCTAATGCAGAAGAACATGTTTCACTTTCAAATTGTTGGATCAGAATCTGAGACACCTGGGTAAAAGAGTTTGACGCAAGGCGGTCGAAAGTGCATTAAAGTAATTCATAGAATATTTAGTCAGTGGATTGTTGTCATCGATCAGACACACATTGAGCCAAATATTCAAGTTCATATCCAATCAAAGATGACAAACAGCCTAGCTATTGTGTCAGAAATGAGGTAATTATGAGGCAATCCTTCCTGTTGTATCAACAATGTCTGCAGCTACAGCCAGTGCAGCTCCGGATCCCAGCTGTTTTTGTCCTTCAACTTTCACAGCTGTCTTTTGCTCAACTATGGATAGAAGCAAAGAGGCTGCTCTGGACAAGAGAGATATTTTCAAACCACCCACGCCTCAGTAGTGGGATCGGGGATTTTTTCTTTTTACCCTTTTACCTTTGGGATTGATACTTGGAATTTAAAGCCCCTTTTTTCTAACAGCAATTTAGGTTGAACTCCTTGATGGTTTTTGCAGGATGTGAAAGCAGTGTTGGAAAGTTTTACTAAATGCTACAGAGCACTCGTCCCTCCACCCTCCAATGCTGGAGCAGATAAAGCTCTGTGTGTCATGTGGTTCTCGTGATATTGAGTATGAGCACTATCTTTGAAGATGTTTTTGTATTTACCGTTTGGTATGTATCATAAAGTTTTACATCATGAGTAACTGGTGTTTACTGTCTGTCACGTATTATCAGCTGATTATGCCATGTGAAAAATCCCCCACGATATCATTAAGCTCCAATTTCTTAGTCAACTCAGCCTCCTGAAAAGAGCGATGTCAAGTAATGAAATTCTGTCATTTGTGTATTTCAGCCAGGCTGAAACTAGCTCCACTTGCTGTGATCTGAATAGATGGAGTGCTTTGGATGTGAAAGCAGAGTATGTGACTAACACATCAATAACAACAATAGTTCTCATTGGATGAAAGATAAAGAGATAAGATAAGATAAAGAGCAAAGCCCCAAACATAGGATAAACCCTTTGAATTTTCACTGAAGTCACTTTAAAATGAAAAAAAGCTTCACTACTTCCACAATGTGTGACACAATCTAATGTATAATTGATATGAGCTTGTTCCAGTGCTTCATTGCAGCTACATGATGCTTGCTTATTCACAGCTAAAACTCCACATTTTTTTATGGATAGGTCTAAAATGTCTACGTAATGCATATGCATCCTTTTAATCACATAATCCAATCAAATGGCCTGCCACATTTGGTATCTTTTGAAAACATCAGGGTTTTGACAGGAATTTCAAATCATGTTAAGTTTGTCCACACCACACAAGTTATGACCAACCCATGGGGAAGTTGTTTGAAGAGGCTAAACTTCATGTCATTACAGATAATCTATCAAGAAAGAGATATAGCATATTTACATAAAATATCCAATAGAATAATAGTGCAGTAGTACCCAGTAGTGATCTTATGGCTTATAATAACAATGTTGCAATAATGATAATAATTATAGTCTAAATGACAATAATCTGTCTATAATATACAACAATAATTGATCACAAACATAATCAGCACTGCTAGTCACTTCAGACTCTTTACATGTTAACTCTCACCAGCAGGCCTACAAGCAGTCCCTCTATGGTCCACCATCTCTCCGCATGTACAAGGTGACATTAAGTTGCTAATTTGACACGTGATCTAATGTCAATAATGAAAATAAATCCAAGGTTTCAAACTATTGGCCAAGAGGTCAGCTCTGTGTGCCCTTCTCAACGTTTGACCTCAGTTTCACTCTGTGGTGATGCAGCTCGTTCCCTCCCGTGATGTAAGCTTATGAGCGCCCCCCTGTGGTGACACGTTAACAGGAAGTCGCACTCAGCAGCAGACCATGGAGCTCAACGACTCAGCTGGGTGTCTCAGGTAAATGAGTTAGAGAACTTGTTGCAGGTAAATTACTGAGAAGAAATTCTCGTCATTTTTGAAAGGCGTCACATTTTCGTGTGTGCACGGTGCACGGTGGGTATTGGGCCCTCAGCGCTGTCTAACAGACAAAGAACGAGGCCAGAAGAAGGTAGCACACATAACACAAACACGGTGATATGGTCACCATATTAAACCTGATAAACTGCCGAGTTATAACCTCAGCCTGGAAACACAAACCTGGAACAGAGGCTGACGTGAGAGCGCGTGGACGCATCCATCGAACTGCGTTCGGTTTACACTCCGGTGGAAGCAAACGTTCATGTAAAGACACTTTTATTTTTCGTGTGTGATCATATCTGCAGCAGCTTCTGAGCTCGGTCTTCTACGGGGACACCAAGTAGGATGTGTCTTTGCAAGTTCCCTTTGCAGAGCAGGTGTCAACACAGTGCAGAAGAGGGTCAACGTGGAGGGCGAACCTAATTAAAATACAGAGAAAAGCAGAGAAATCCTGTTATTGCAAAGTATTTTGTTTGTTTGTTACTTACAGAATAACCCATGTGATCTGTTCGGTGCATTGTGCAAAGGAGATGATGAAATGATCTCTCTGGGCAAATTGCATCCTCTCAGTCTGTATTGTTGACCTGCTTTTCTGCCCTTTTGGATGAAAGTTTGGTGGTCTTGAAATTATCCTTGAAGGATGAAAAGAGGATTTGGATTGCATATAATAGAATTGAGCTAAATTACATCTTTTTTCTGTTGTGTTACGCTGAATGCTGAGCCACATGTCCCCTCTCTCTAAGCTCTGAAAAATCTCCCTCTGCTGAAACTGTTTAATTACCACTCAGATAAACTGAAGACTCATCGCCATCAGGCTGATTTTCTGCAGTCACTTGATGTTTCTTTGACACCTGTCCGCTATACTATTTTGTGATTTAGAAATATTCGTCTCATCCGTCACTTTTATGTGTCTGGCTGCCCTTATAGGAGGCATAGTTTCATGAAATCACATATTGCTCTAAATAATTGAAATGATGACGTCATGCTGCCAGGATATGTTGGTGACTGTGCGTCGGTCTGGAGAAGTGTGAGCACAAGTGTGTGCGTTGTACGGTCTGCTTAGACACATTGCTTTATGAATCTGGAGAAACGATGTCCCCTTGAAACTACACAATGCTTTAAGATACTGAGAAATAGTTTATTTCTTCACGGAATTATCAAATATTGCCTATATATTCGCCTAAATATCATTTCAGATGCTATGTGCTTTTCGTTTGGTGCAATATGTTGTCCTGTAGGATTTTTAATAACTAATATTAGTTGACAGTAATGCTTCATTTTATTAGGTTTTAAGACTGTGTAGAACAAGTCCGGGTTATATGTCACCATAGCCTCTCTCGACGCCTGTAAGACAGCAACAAGGGTAATTTCGCCCTGGCTATAATTGACGTATTCGTGTACTAAATGTGTTGGTGCTCAGGGAAAACGCATATGAAGCAATAAATGGCCGAGTCTGTCGTTTACACCGATTCTGAGACCCGTTAATGAGGTATCCATTCATTTTTAATTTTAGGATGGAGATATTTGATCTTAATTAGTAAATGTAACGGAGCCCTGTCGCTTTAATTGTGACAAAGCAGTAGTATTAATGCGTTTAAAAAATATTTTACAAATATTGCCCCAGACAACAACTTATCGAAAACCACATCAAAAAATACTAACATAAATAATTTAATATACTCTTTGATTTTACATTAGCTGAATAAAACCCTCTATTTTAATGAGCCCAAATAACCACGTCAAATGATCGCATTAAAAATACCAAAATAATGCGCCATGGGATAGATTATGTTTATTCTGTAAAACATCTCAACCAGTTGCAGACGTTTCGATTAAAAAAAGAGAAAGATTAGACGTGCTTATTTAGATCTGTGCGCGTGAATTCTCCAGGTTTACTTGAGTTAGTTACAAGACTTTTTTTTTTTGTTTTTCCCTTAATCGACCAGCTTGCAGACATCACCACTGAACAAGACACTTGATGTCCTCGGGCAGTGAGGATGTCTGTGCTCAAGGACGCTGTGGAAAGCGAATGCAATCAATGACCGGATTCACGGGATGAGAAGCACGTTTTTGTTTTTTTTTTTGTTTTTTTTTATTCTTATCGAAATATAGAATAAAACACCCCGTCTGTGAGCAGCGCGTTTCAGACTGCTGAGAGAAATGTGACAGAGTAGCCATGTCTTATCCTGTAGTATACTTTTAAAGCTTTCCATCAACAGTTTTCATACTACCAAAAATCCATAAACTTAAAGCAATTGCAGCTGATTTATTATGGACCGTAAACATATTTTGGACGGTTTAAGCCTCCTTGTTTTAGAGCTATTTCATCCGAGAGGATGAATACAGGTTTTCCAAGAGAAAACTACATGATTATAATCTCACATGTCAACTACCTAAACGGAGTCGAGGAAAATACAAAACATTCCATCATCAAAATATAAAATGTAAACTCAAGTGCAGAAATATTTGTGTTGAATTGAAGACATATTTCTGTCAGTACATCAAAACTTAAATACATTTGGTATTGATTGTGAGATACGCCCACGCCTCGGCCCTAAAGTGATGCATTTGTTGAGCCTTGAACATTTTTTTTCTGCGTTTTTATTTTTTTTCCCCTCTGTTGTTTGTCAAATTATAAGGCAGAGGCGAGGGATTTCAAGGATTTCCAATTTAATCGAAGAGGCTGAGAGTGGAGTGGAAGAGTGACACACGGAGGAGAGAAGTTCATTATTCTGCTGAAAAGGAAACCAATGGCTTTCACAGTCGCCATGGTAACTGGCCTTTCTTTTGCCGTCAGACCTATGATAAGGTACTTCACAGCATTAAGCACAATTATTGCAAGGTAAAAGGGGAAATATTGCTTTCCAATGCTAATAGATGTTAGATATTGATTGGCATAGTGATTCGTATAGAAGTGTGGCCCAACTGTTTCACCTGCCTGACTCTCTGCAACCTTTTAAAGAAATGTGATGAAGGTGATGCTGGATGGGCCTTTGTGGCTCTGTGGGCTCTGTGGGCTCTTTCATCTTTACTTTACCTGAATATCAGGAAGAAAAAAAAAAACCACTTGTGACGGGAAGAAGATGAAGACAAATTCATCAGCGAAACAAGCTAGAAAACTACAAAAAAAACCAAGAGTTTTGAGTTTCTTTCTCTGGGAAAAAAAATCTGCATGCGTTTCCAGCTCTCTTGTGCAAAATGTCTCATAACATAAATACTAAACACCCGCTGCTTCCCATCATTAGCATGTCATTCTGTTGTCGGGTGACCCCGCTCACACTCTCTCACAATGGCGGGTCGGCCTTGGCAGCAGCGAGGTCAGCGCCAAGCACAAGTCCAGACCATGGGGGGGGGGGGGCTGTTGGTTAGTGGTAGCCTGCTCAGTTGGTGAGAGGATGGAGGATTAGCTCGGTGGAAAGCATGGGAGGTGGTGTGTGTGTGTATATGTGTGTGTGTGTGTGTGTGTGTGTGTGTGTGCAGGGATAGGGTGGTGGGGGGCAAATTGTTTTAACCCCTATTACAGCAACCGCATGGCGCTTCTCTTATCTAGGCCGCTGCAGCCACTCATTAATATTCCGTACATATGGCAGTGCTTTCTGTATCATTGTCTATTAATGGGAGGGATAATCGCTCATTCAATTATCAGGCAGTCAGCAAAAGACCAACCGTGCCTGCGCACCCTCTGGTTCACACAGTGGCACAGCCCAAAACAGAGGTGTGCCAGTGAGAAGGTGAGAGCGATAGCGGGGATTACAACATATTAGCTTCTTTAATAAGTCAGGCGGCGGGAATAATGTGATGCTAACAGGGCTCTGTTGGCGAACAAGAAACATGCCTGAACTTTGTGTCAACAAAGCGGAGGAGGGCCGTATCTTAAACCTTCTTCCTGTTCGACTTAAAAGTCCCGCATGCCTCTCACACACATCAGTGTCACGGCCGTGATCCACGTGACAGTTTCAGAGATGCTTTTAAACACTGAAGCGACTCCTTTGTGGCGATGACCCGTGGCCAGAAAAGGTCGAGGATAGCCGTGTGATAGACTCTGAAGGCCGCGCTAAATAAAGCTTGACCCTGATGTGTGCGGGCCACAAGATCTGAGAAGTGATCAAATGTAGCGTTCATCCCTGTTGATCTGTGCTTTGTGGCCTCGGGACCCCGCGCTGCCTGTCTCCCTGCTGACCGAGGCCGCGGCCTGGATATGAAGGGGGGGGTGATGATAGTGTGACCTCAGGCGCTTTTGACCCGAGGAGACCTCGTTGAGTCAACACAAGCGCACCCGAGAGGGAAAGAGGGAGAGTTGGAATAAGCTTGTTTAGTGCAGCGAGTTTCTTCAGGAGGTGGGCCAGGAGATTGGGAGTGCAGAAACTGTTGCAAGCGGGGGTGTGAAAAAGATAGGAGGTGAAATGTTAACAAAATCTTATAAAATCCCTAGTTTGATAAATTTCCGCTCGCATTTTGAATGAACCGAAGGCGGCTGTGGTTGTGGAGGGCCTTTGTTGGAGGTCCCATTTTCTCTGGCAGAGCAGCACGCTCACAGGGTCAGCGAAGTTACGAAAGTAATTAAAGCTTGGTGATTCACTGCCTGCTGCAGAGAAAAGAAAGCAAGCTGTCATTCTGATTTAGAAAAATAAATTACAATTTTAATAATGGGGGAGGATGGGGGTGCGAGAACGTCTACAGCCTCGGTGGGTTGGGGGGAGGCGGGGGTGGGCATGTTGGGTGGGAGGAGGGGTCGAGGGGGTTGCTGGCTGCCTACTTATCAATAGTTGCAATTTTTTTTTTTTTTTTTTTTTTTGAAACCGCATCGGTAGTACATTGCGAGAGCACAAGTGCCCTTAAAAAAAGAAAACCCAGGAACATTAACATACTGATTTCATGCGCATGGCAAAGGGCCTGAGCCAATATCAGAGAGGACTCAGCAGTCCTATTGTCTGCTGGGACTCTGGTCCCCTCTGATATGAAAATTCAATTATTTTATAACTAGATCTGGCGCTGCGTTTTGACTGGCGACGGTAGCGCCTTGCCAGCTGCATCAGTGTGGGGGACCAGAGGCTCCTGATAGCGAGAGGGAGGCCTTTCAGACATTGACATGTTTTTGGGGGACAAGATTGCCTAAATGTGTTGCATTTAAGGACTGAAAGTTAATCTAATGCACAACCATTATCTCACTCAGGTAATTCCAATACCATCCTCAATCTATGTTTACGCTCATGGACGCACCCGCATACTCGCACATCCATTCATTCTTCAGCACTTTGAATCTGATTCCCAGGCTTTCTGCATCCAAACAGGTAATGTATTTATTTATTTTTTCTGCGGGGCGTATTCTCAGGGAGCTGCGAACTATATAGACTAGAAGTTGTTTTTCTAAGAGACATCAGCAGTTTCTAGGTCGTAATTCTGTAGGAAGACTCACGTAAGAAACTGTTTTCCAAGTACTTTTATACTTTTTCATCGCTGGGTACAAATAGTATATACATACAATAGTTATATACTGAGTTACATGCACTTCCCTGTGAAATATGAACACAGTTCCCCCAAATTTTCACAAATATTTTTCTTTGAAAGAAGATGAAATATCTCTTTCTGTAAGTGTGCAGGTTGTTTTGTTGTCGTATATATTTTTTTTTAATCCAGAATTTCCTCCGTATTAATGGTACATTAGGTCAGACACCGAAACTTTTTTGGGTGCAGACACACGAGCTGGCCTATTTTCCATCCTTTCATTAACTCGGCGGTTCATTGTGAGTGTTCTGGGGGGGGGGGTCCTGTTAAGATTAGGGAACAGGAAGCAGCCCCCTGGTATGGCCCTCTCTACTCGGACCCCACTGTGCTGTGCTTGTTAACCCAGCCTGGGAGAAGACGTACCTGCCTCTCCTCATTAGGCCGCGGTGGAGTACTCGCTCAGCCCACAGAAGAATGGAACATTAATTAGTATTCTCTGCAGGGGGAACTGCCATTAGCACTTAATTAGCAGTAAGAGTACCATTCAGTCGGGCGGCCAGTTAGTGTCTGACGCCATATGTTCTGTGTCTTTTTCCTGTGTGTGTTTGTAAAACGCTGATGAAAGACCTTGTTGTCTGTGCATGTGTGTCGGGCAGTGCTGCATGTATTTTTTTTTGAGAGTTTCTTTTTTTTTTTTTTGTGTCCTATGCAGCTTATCTGACCAAACATGCCACGGCTTGTTGTCTTTTGGGTTTATTTCTGCAGAACTAGTGTTTGAATACATCTAGAGGAGGGGCTGTAAGAGCGGGACTTCAGAGTGAAGGCCTGTGCTCCCAACTCAGCATGCTGTCTATCCGTGTCTCTGATTCAACTCCGGGTGCTGCCCTCTCGCTGCTGTTGACCTCCATGAGGGCAAGCGCTCTATGTGCCCGCGCGGCTCGGCCAGGGGTGCTAAAGTGTGTGGTTTGGGGATTGAGGTCAACTTTTCCCATTCGTCTTCTCGGAAGTTCTTTTGACCTGCTGAGTAGGCATTCTCCTCTTTTTTTTCTCTGTGTTCTCTGTCCAGCGCCATCACCGCCGAGGAGGACAAGGGAGGCTGTTAACCCACCTCGGTCCACTCCTCTGCCTCCCCGGTCCTCACTCTCCCCCTGTACTCCCTCCACCCACCAACAGCTTTTGGAGGCTCAAACAGAGGGTGGCGGTGGTACCTCTTCACTTTTCCGAAATCTGAGAGGCGGAGAGCTGTCATTTGCCAATTTGGCCTGAATGGGGCGGACAGCGGATTGAATGTCGTTTTCCCACCAGGCTGCGCCATCTAGAGCAGCAGGGGAGGGAGGGGGATGCAGGGAGCGGGGTGTAATGCTCGAGTAAAATTAGAGCTTTGATGGCAGCTAATAGAGTGTGATGGGTGGCGCTGACGTGGATTTACAGGAAAGACGCCACAGGTTTCCGCTCTCTCTCTCTCTCTCTGTCTCTCTCTCTCTCTCTCTGCCTGTCTTTCTGCCTCTGTCTGTCCTGCAGCCAAGCGCTGACACACCTATAAGATATTGTGGGCTCTGCCTTCTTTCTCAGAGCTGTAATTTCTTCCTGCTCAGCGTAATTACACATCTCGAACTCCAAGCCTGCCTATGTCAAAGGGCCAGACCGATTCGGTTTCTCTGTGCGCCTTCTTATTGCACACACACCTGCACGCACGCACATGCACATGCACACACACACACACACAGACACAGACCAGCCTTTGAGAGTGAAAACACTGCAGAAAAAAGACTCACTGATTTTTTTTTTTTTTTTGTTTTTTTTTAACTGGAGCCCTTTCCATTTGTTTTATGAAATAATAATGGAACTCTCATGTTCTGTTTGGGGCTGCTGGAGTCCCTGAGCCACACTTGAAATTGTTTTATCAGCTTCATATTTCAGGAATTTTCCCATTTTATCTATTGAATTATTTTTTTTAACTATGTTTCAGACGTCGGCAGCAGAAAACTATCAATAGTTATCAGTTTGTGCTCACAGAGAGCCCAGCTGTTAAACAAAGTTAAATGCAAAGGATCGTCATCTGCTCGATATCTGTTGTTGTTTACAGAGCTTTTTATAATAAGTCTATTTGGATTTCTGTTATTGGGATTTAATAACAATATGTTGTGTTCTAATCGACTCCGTCCATTAGTCTAATCTTTGTCTTTGAACGACAAAATCAACATATATTTGCTTAGCCCATGACGTATGAAACATAAAATATATATAAATATTTGGTGTGATAATAGTGTTGTTTTCTATCAACTGAATCCCTCTGGGGTGTTTAATGGCTGTTGGTTGCCTTTGTTGCATCAGTTGCAGTTGTGCTTGTTGGTTTATTGCAACACTAGATTCATCAGCAGGCAAGTAGAAAAATATATTTTTACGTTTAGCTTAAGAATATGCAGTAGCTAAGTGCACTCTTGGTTACTTTGAGTTTACAGTGTTGTGGTACATTACTAAATGAGTGGATAGGTTTGTGTTGCACTGGATGGTGAGGGTCTCAGGTATTGCAGCTGTTCCCTTCAGAGGTTTTTAAAGACCACATTAGTCACTCAGGCCCTCTCTCCCACCAGGCTGCCCACTAAGCGACGCGAGGATGCACGAAACACAACACTGGGAGCTGCCTCAGGGCTACCAGTGACACACACACACACACACACTATACATCAGATGTTTTGATAGCTTCTGAGGCACGAGTGGCACTGTGATGCTCTGACATATGGAAGCTTAAAGGCTTCTTAAATATCCATATCAATCTGCACGCTTGTCAGCTTGACAATGACGGAAACCGAACACCATTAACAGTATCGCCCTCATCTGTGCAACATTAGAGAAATAGATGGCCCTCTGGAAGACATTCCTCTGGACGTTAGCCGAGCCAAAGCACTAAGAGCGAATTACATTTTGGACTTTTGTGTTATTTAACTGTTGGGTCTAAATGTTGGGTTTGACACATGTGTTGCCAGGTTTATTTTGGAACAACTCTGCCAGAGTGTTATGTGCGGTTTGAGCTACCATGTTCGGTTGAAGAGTCAGAAATATAATATCCTGTTTTTTAAAATGGATCCGATTGCATTGATTTCATTGTTCTGCCCTTTCTTGGTAATGCGTATATGCTTGTGACCGTGCGAGGCGATTGTCCTCTTCTGCTGCACAGAAAGCATTGTACTCTGCTCTCTCGGGATGGGAGATGTTTTGTTTTTTGAGCTCTTTCACACCAGCTCTCCCTCTTCTTTTTTTTTTTTTTTTTTTTTTTTTTTTTTTTTTTTTTTTTTTTTTTTCTTCCCCCAACACAATAGCCCTCTCTCCTCTCACCCAGCGTGGCAACCCTTTCAAACGGGAAGCTCCAGGTCAGTTTCCCTTGCCAAGTTTTGCAGCCTGCCATGTTGTCTATTCTGCTCAGCTATTTAAAAAATGTTGAATATCAACAATGGCTTTCACTGGTGCATTGTCAACTTTTGTATGAAGCAATCTTGGCTGAATGAGATGGGTCCCAGAGCAGGGAGAGCTCAGCTGCAGTGTGCACTACCACACCAGTGACTGCCCGGCTCTCTCGCTCTTTATATTTCTCTGCTGCGCTGGGAGCTGCCATGGTGGTGCTGCTGCCGTCTGAATGGCCGCGGTTGGAGTCTGGGCTGAGGCTCTGGGTGTCATGCTATCTTCCAGTCCTCGGCCCTGCTCCTGGCCCTGCTGACAGCCAGCTGTTGAAGGTGTGTCTAACAGAGGAGGGATTGGGAAGCAGCAGCAGCAGCCGTGGGGACCAGTCAGTCCTTGGTGAGTGTCCTCAATTTTGTGGCCAGAGTGGGAGGAGGTTAGTCGTAAAGAGAGGAGAGAAAAGGGAGGGGGGGCGTTCAGGGAGACGGTGCGGGGAGCTTTGTGGTCTGTGAGTTGTGTTTACTGCCTCTGTTCACGCATGTATTTATAGACATCGTCTGACTTTACCTGAGGAAATGATTTCCTTTTAATCACGAGTCATGTCACCTGTTGGTTTGGATGTCATGGAAAACAGTTATAAGTTTGAGAATATTAACTTGTGTAAAATGTCGCAACTCTTCTGTCCTGTTTCAAAAATACTGTCGCATTCTCAGAAAACCTGAACTCAGTCATGCTACACTTCTTTTATTTGCCGACGGCATACAGTCAACAGCCATTTTGACACTTTAACAATGTTCAAACCCCCTAGAATACCGAAGTTTGTCCCGTCTGATATGCACACTGGCTGCATCTGCGACTTTATGATGAGCTCCATGTTTTTGCACAAGGCACGTACATCTATGTTTGTGTAAGTGACGAGAAAGATGAAAGCAAGAATGAGAGCTTGCTTCCAGATAATAGTAGCTTAGGCTCTTTGTCCTGCTGTCAGCCAGGAGAGGAGCGAGGCTGGAAATCGCTCCAATGCAGCGGCAACATCTTGTATGTTTCATTGACATATCAGTCTATGGGGCAATGAGCCGTCGCCTCTGCCCTCCTCCTGTGTGTGTGTGTGTGTGTGTGTGTGTGTGTGTGTGTGTGTGTGTGTCTCTCTCTCTCTCTCTGTGTTTGTGTGCATGTGTACACATAGGTGGAACACCAAGGTGCACTTCTTTGTTAGCCGTGTTAGTGAAAGCAAAAGTTGATTTATAAGCGAAAAGTAAAGAATTATAAGTGCACGCACGCAATGAATGGAGCCGCGGAGAACAGATGCAGCAGCTCTTAGTTTAGCAGTTACATTAAGAATTAAGCACAATAATCATTTTACTCATTTTTTTATGCTCTCGCACCTTCTTTTTTTTTTAAAATCATTTTCTTTTGTACAACAATTTCCGAGCTTATAGCAATAGAGGCAGAGGTAAGACACTAGACAACAACCGTTTATAGATGCAGCTTTTAGTTCAGTCAAATGGATACTCATTTGATATTTTAATATTTAATTCCCCATATTGAACTGTCACAAAATCAGCTTCAGCATGTAATTTAATGATATTTGGTTTGAGGATTTGTTTGTCTCACTAAACACCGAATAATGTTGATTCTTTATCCTGAACTGGCTCTAAAAACTGAACATATCATTTAAGATATTCCTCATATAATAATTGTTTATTGCGGTAAAAATGATGGTACTGATACTGTGTGTGATACTTTTTCAAACGCCTAAAAGCTCTAAATGTTCCAGTAAACAGACTGGAGACACCCTACCTCCTCGAGGACCAGTGCTGTCCTCTGCCTCACCTCCTCTGAGTTCAACCAAGGCAAGGTGACCAAATTCATCTCGGACCAGCCCATCCATTATGTTGTCAACACAGTCAGCTTCCCACCTTAGTTTGCTCTTCTCCCACAAGACCAACTCTAATGAAACACCCAATAATCACCGCACTCATCTCGTCATGCTCAAGGTAATTAATATATTTAGAGGTCGATGGCTAACTCTTAATTAAATTATGCCTCTTTTAATGAGACCTTGACTGGGACTAAATTTATGACCACTATCTGCTTTATCAAGTGCTCTGCACGCCGCAAAGATTTGTCATTTTCTCCCAAATCACAGCCAGATTACACACAATGGTACTCGTGATTTATATATCAATTTATGCGTGTTTGTTTCTTTTTTTTTTAAGGTTTAATAAATTACCTCTTGTAATTACCTAACCTAGTTTTTGGGTTCTTAAAAGCCCCAATTTCTGCAATTAATGCTCAGCACTGTATCGCTGTTACATATTCATTTTGGAGGAGAATGCAGATAACAACTTGGTGGCATTAATCATGTTACAAAATTGGGTGTATTTAATTAATTAAAGTTACACTGCAAATTAATTGTGCATTCCCTCAATATTATCTTAAGCTAATGAAGGCTTGACAAAGAGACTGTTTCATTTTTTATAAAGAGGCTAGATTAGTGGGATCTCAATTATGGCTAAAACAAAAGGAGGCTGCTTGCTTGGGCATGGCGCAAAGCAGAAAGTGACTATTCAGCACTTTCTTCCAAACAAAAAACTGAGAAAGTTTCCATTGTTTTTGGGAAAAAAACTGAACATGGCAATGATTCAAAAGATACACGAAAAATAATGAGTGCTGTAATTAGCCAGTCAGGCATTAACAGTATTTAAAATGATCATCATATAGAGGTGCTTGATAATGCCATTCACAGGCAGCAGGCAGGTGCTTGCTGACAGGCTATCATAACTTTAATGCTGGTGCAAAAAAATTAAAAAAAACACATCCAGAGGCCTAATTTAAACTGCGTTCTCCTTTGTTGCACGTTTACAGCGTTTGGTATTATTAAGAGTGCATCTCATTCTGAAAACGGCTGTGCAGCGAACCCTTGAAACCAGCAAATGAGATGTAATATGATGTCTCTATACGTGAAGATTGCACAGATTAGAGGTTCAAGTGTGAGCCGAGCTTTAGCTGAGGAAGTTTAGGCAGCAGACTTTGTTCCTGAGCAAACACAGAAGTGGTTATGTTGCGCACTAGATGGCTGAATCCAGCCTCGCCCAGTGGCTCAGAAGCAAAACCATATTTATTGAAATTTTCTGCTTAATTTAAACTGAATTGAAATTAGCTTTCAATGGATAAGAGCTTATAATTCACAGTAATTTCGTATTTTATTTTTCATTTAACGCATCATATACCAAATGTTTTAATATGAGTGTTCCTCCTAATCTGCTAAGTAAACGTAAAGAGTCTTTGTCTACGAAATGACTCCAAGGAGCTAATAATCATTGTGTATTCATTTAAAAATGCTTCCAGCAATGTCCTCTCCTGTGATATAGTTTCATTTGCTTTTAGCTTCATTAGTCAATAACCGCCGTGAAAAATGCTTGTGTCAATTATGGGAACTCCAAGGGTCAGTGAGTATATGAATTTTTAACTGCACACTGCTGCACAAGATTATATGAAGTGGTCTTGTAACAATGATTAACCCCGGCTGTGTGTGTGCGTGTGTGCACTACTGGGCAATTTTGCGTGCACTTATGTGTCGAGCATACTTGATCAAATGTGTTTTGAAATGTGCATCCCTTAAATGATAAGCAGCTACAACCGCAAAGCGCGTGAGGTGATGAAGTGAAAAACTATTCCCTTGGCTAAGTGAGATGGAGCAGAGCGTTGGGTGGTCACGCCTTGTCTGCTCATGACAGTGGCGGGTTAAAGAGATTACACTGGGTCTGTGTCGGCAGCCTTGGCCTTGCTCACACAAGAACATAATGAGGAAGGACATGCTTGGCCTGCCGGAGAGAAAAAGAGGCTAAAGTTTGAAGCATTCTTCGCAGGCAGCTACAGGAGGCAAAACAGCTTTTTGCATGTTGTGTTTCAAGCTAAGGTCAATAAGTAAGACGGTTGCATTCCACAGAGCTCACCGAGGTGGCGGACACGTATATATCGCTTCTATAGCCACCGCAGAGAAAACACAAATTACTCTGCTACAGTGGAGGCAAGAATGCAGCATTCTCCATTTGGCCCCTGAGTCCTCCTGACAGACTTGCAACACTCCACTAAAGCTCTCCTGAAAATTGATGCATCTGTCCCTCTGAGTGTGTGTGTGTGTGTGTGTGTGTGTGTGTGTGTGTTGTGCTTCTTTTGAAGGTTTGAGTGACACTCCCTCCACCTACACTGACTGAACTTTCTCTGCTTCAGACGGGCCCCACAGTGAGAGATGATCGTCGGGGTTGCATCCCAACATGTGGTGAGTTTACTGAATCTGCCTGCTTCATCCTCTCTCGTGATGACTAAAGCTTCCTCTACAACCGCTCTGTGGAACAATCAATGAAAAGTTATGACACAGAGCAGGACATCACGTTTCTCTTGAAGATCAGTGGCCTCTGTTTATTCTCTGTCCTGGTGCACATGCAGTAGAAGTAGAACCTACAAGAGTCCACACACCATCTTCAACTAATTATTCATTTCAAGGTTTTCTTTTTCTTCTACATATTAAAATGAAATTCCTCAACATATTAAAAAGATCACTTAATTAGTCTTATGAAGGGCTCATTGCATGGGTGGAATTATTTTATGGTCGCAAAGAAATATAAGTTCAAAAAAATACTTCATTAGATTTGAAAAATCTTTTGGTCTTACTTGCAGTTATTTTAATTTATTGTTTGCTTCCCAAACAATAAATCAAACAGGACATGCACAAATATTATTATCTTGTGAGAAGTCTTTTATTTTGACAATGTTTGAAACTGGCATTAAGCTCATTTTCCTAACAGAACTAGAGCCATATGATGCTATCAGTATAGTTTAATTAGGTGCATGATACCTGTTGCTAGACTTTAGCTCATGATGATTGTCTGAAATTTCCAAACCAGCATCCAGGAATCAAAGTACATTTTGTGCCTTAAGATTTATTTTTAGAATTCCCTGACATAAATTACTGAACCACGATTGAAAAAGTGTTCAAACTGTTTAAAAAAACTAACTTAGATGGACTGAGTATAAATGTTTCCTCGGCCATGACTCTGCATTAAACACATCAGACATGAAACATTTAAAGCTATTTTTTGTTAAGTATTTTCGTCTCGTGCTGGTCAAATTACCATGAGGGAAAACTAGCCCGGCATTGTGAAATAAAGAGGTGATAATAGCATCACTTTTATTCCTTTAAATGACCCGTGAATATTATTTTACCTGTGTTGAACTGGGAGGACGCAACCATTCACGATGACACAATAGGAACAGCAGACCGTGCGTAAATTGCATCTTCATTTGCATTCGTGGTCCAAAAATCATGCAAATCTTAATGAGGCAGTGTCCATTGTGGCTGTAATTGAAAACCCATTCTTTGTTAATTACTGTTTCTCAAAGGCCTTGTCCGCAGTCACTGAGCTGAAACAAAAAAAAAGTTATTGATTCTGGAGGTCGTGGGGTTTAAAATAATGTTTATTGTGGGTTTGAGATGCGATTTTCGATTATAAAAAAATGTCTGTCCTATTTGGGAATTGTCAAGAATACCACATAAAAACGAAAACTGTGTCAACGCAGGCTGTAACAATAAAAAGGCAATCAATTACAAGCTATTATCAGTTACTTATTTGCAACTGAATGGCAGACATGCAGCTCCCGTGTCTTGTCGTATGATAATAAAGTTCAGCGCATTTTGTCCGTCATTAATTCAAATTGTCTGACCATAAAGCTCTGTTGACAGCCGAGCAAAGGATGCGGACATGCAGGGAGCTCCACTGTTTTCGGAGGTGGGATTAATGTGGTTTTGTGTTGACCTGAATAGATTTTAAATCCCCTCAAGCTCTTCGCAAATATAACTTGCACTTTAGTTTGTTCTTTTTTTTCTAGGCCCAAAGGCCAGAATTGGACTATTTTCCCTCGCCAAAAACTTTTGTTTTCTGTGATACCCGTCAAATTTGGCGACCGGATTTAGTGCTGTGTCAACATAAATGTGAAATTTAAACAAAATATTTATTTTTGTTTGTCTAATACATCTTTACTGTAACAAAAAGCTATTAAAATACAATTGATTTCTCCTCCGAAATCGGTGGTTGGAGAGGAAAAATGACATGCACAGTGCATCCATTTTTATAATAATCTATCGAGCTGCTTGCATGGTTTTATTCTCCCATCAGGACATTCACATATTTCCCAACATTCAACAGTGGGATCCTGCTGCCGCGCTCCCCGAGAGCCCCTCTGGGCTGTCAGGCTTGTTGAGTCTGAATCAGAGCAGACTGTGCTGGTGGTCCTCCGTTCCTTAATTAGGAAATTAGCTGCACAGAGGCCCTCATTACCAAACTCCGGGTTACTCCTGGTGTTTTCTCTCTCTCTCTCTCTCTCTCTCTCTCTCTCTCTCTCTCTCTCTCTCTCTCTCTCTGCTACTGGTCAATTTCCATAAGAAGATTACAAGCGGATCAGTATTGAGATTTGCTCAGATAAACAAATAACTGGTCCCTGAGAATAGATGGCTGCTAATTGGACGTTAGTTTTATTGCTCGTGGTCTGTTTGTAACGCCCCATTGAACGGGAAAATTAAATTCATGAAGTGATGTCTCTTTTCAGCTGATTTACTGCAACTATATGGCTGAGAGGCTGGGCTTTCCCTCCCTGTAAGATAACACATCATGTGTGCCGATAGTCTCATTTGAAAAGTCGTATTTTTTTCTCCAAATGTCTGTTTTTGAGTCATATTACTTTTATAAATACGTGGCTATAAAAGGCTACACATTATTTAGTATCCTTTTGTTAAAACCATGCGGATTTGGACTTTTTTTGTTTTATTTTGAAAACACAAACTTTCATTCATTATTGGAGAGAAATAAGAAAGTTTGCCAGATGTTATCGGTTCATTGGCAATTTAATAGAAACAGCTCAAATAACTAATACATCTTATCTGCTCTCGAGTTATTATCATAATAAAAAAACACTCTGGTTTTTGCATTTAGATGTTTACTCTCTCCGATGGTGACACATTTTAAAATAATAAGTGTGTTCGGTCCTTCAGGTGCCCTGCATCAGTAATGAAATGCGATAGGCGTACTTTTTTTTTTTTTTTTTAGATTTGAAAGCTCCGAGAGGTGAAACGCTCTAAAATGCACATACCAGAATGATCCCCGCAGAGCTCATCTCAATACTGAGGCGTTAATAGTCGTGTTCGATGGGCGATTCACTCATAATCATTAGCAGGTGTGAGCTTTGTCCCGTTGAGCGATTGGTTCCAGCGGGGTTTCGGGTTGTTTGTAAGGACACACGTGCAAATGAAGGCCACTCCACGGTAATCATTTTAATAACACGTGTGGAGAGAAAAACAAGTCAGCAAACAGTGTAGCTGACGCTCACGCGGCGGAGCGAGGCGAGCCGAGTCCCAAACTAAAGTTTCCCTTCAGGGACCAAAGGGATAGCCTGTCCCCTCCACAAGAGGTCGTTGATGTATTAGAGTTTTGTATCGTGGTTACCTTAACGCTGCAGAAACGTGCCACTCATTTCATTTGAAACAAGAGTATTGCTCTTCTGTTTGAGGTCTGGTGAGGTAATTTATCAGGTAATACGATTATTGTTATTAAGCCTCATAGTTTTTTATAATATTTTATTTATACCAGTGGAGTCATTTTCAGTTTAATTTCAATCCAATTACAATATATTCCTCCTCATGAGT